TTTTTTTTTTTTTTTTGTCGCTATTAGTTGAAAGCAAAGTTCAATAATATAGATTGTGAAAGGCAATTTGCAGCAGCAATTTCCTGGGTTTAATGAGTTAAAGAGATGTCGGCTATCCGTTTCAAGCTTAGTCAAATAAATTTTGCTTGTTTTCGTTGTCGTTGTTGTTGTTTCTGCTGCTGCTACTACTACTGCTGCTGCTACTGCTGCTAAAGATAGGGCTGGCAACATTAGGAGTAGAATAAGAGAGGGAGAAGACAGAGCGGTTGGTAGGGGAGTAAAAATGTATGAGGGTGATTGGTTTGATTAAATCAATTGTATTCATTATCCATGCCCAATGCGCATCAATTGCATCTCTTCACCGACCAGTTTATATGTACGTCGTCCAACATATCCATCTATACACTTTCAGATATCCCATGCACTCAGTGCTGTCCCCCCTTCTATATCTGTCGTTTGCCTGATACTCTTAGAACTGTGATTAACTACATCTGCCACTCTTCATAAAGAGACATTCATCCTGAAAAATCACTTTAAATTTAAAAAAAATTTCTTTTGTTTATTTAAGCATTAGCCAATAAAAAAAAATTATTGCTAGAATTAAAATTATTGCTGTTGTAAAACAACACGAAAGGAGAAAAATAGAAAAAAAAAAGACTCAGGAAATCGAAAAATCAGAGAAAAAAAACTTTGAACGAAAAAAATACACAGCAACTGTAAATGCATCAAGATTTTTCATGATGGAAATTTTTTTTCACATCATTTCTATATAGTTTGTATGCAATTACAGAAAACAAATTTTATGCTTTATATATAACAGAAAAGCAGAAAGACACTTAAAGGGGTTCAGGTCACGACAAAAAATCTGTTGTATTGTACTGAGGACAAAAAAAATTGTAATTTTAAGTCATATCCACTATTTGTTTGTGTATCGGTTGTAGAAAAATATTGCTGTTTATGTACAGCTTTGTCGACTTGACAAACCATAATAGTCTGAACAGCTGTTAACATAGTTGCAGACCATTCATATACGCTTAAAAGATGGATGTATTTCAAATATGTGCTTCTAAGAGGAATCGAAGAAGCAGCTGAGAAAGAAAAACAAAACAAAAAAAAAAGAGAAGCAATCAAACCTTTTTTTCCAGACTTTTGTGTTTGAAAAAAAAGAATAGCAAAATATGATTGTTCTATATGATTTCAGTGAACGACAACGTACCACAGTTTATTTCAAATAATTATACAATGTTAATTCCGGAAGATACACCAGTTGGAACATCATTTATGCAAATTGAAGCTCTTGATGCAGATTCTGGTAACAACGGTTTTGTTGACTATGTTTTCAGTGAACAAAATGATCCGGAATCTGTAAGCAGCTTCAAATTGGATATGTCTTCTGGAACTTTGCGTGTTGACAAAAAACTTGACCGTGAACGCTTCGAAAGGTTTCTTTATTTACCTAGCATATTACAGATATATACATTTAAGTTTCGCGACTATTTCTGCTTCTACTGAAGCCAGTTAAACATAATGAATTTTAGACATATCTGAGACCATGATTTTGAGATGGAAAGGCAAAAAAATATATATATATTTTATATATATATATTATAT